AAACTAAGATACTGGGAGAAAGTTCTCGGTGAAGATTCTAACTCCTGCCCTTAGTCAGGGGCAGTACAGTGGCTCAGTGGTTGGCAAGGCTGCCTCACAGCACCAGGGGCCTGGGTTTAATTCCACCCTCGGGCAACTGTCTGTGTGCAATTTGTAGATTCTCCACGCGTCTGAATGGGTTTCCAAAAGGGGCTCTGGTTTCCTCCCACAGTCTAAAGGTGTGCTGGTTAGGTGGATTAATCATGGGATATGCAAGATTACTGGGTCGGACTGGGATGCCCTTTGGAGGGTTGATATGAACTTGATGGGCCGAATGGCCTGCTTACACAGTGTAGGGATTCTGTGATTCCTGGAGTAAATAACTTTTGTAGGGATATACCCACACTCTGGATGGCTGCTGTGAAGTCAGGACTTTGTCCTGGTGGATGCATTGCACTAACAAAGCCCCTTAGACTTGACATCTTGTTCTGGCATTGACCTTTTTTTAAAATCTGATTTCCTTAGTGCTTGCAGTTAGTTCCTGTTCACTTAGCTCAAGAGGGTCAACAATTTCTTCCTCAGGAAGGATAATCTGAGCCAGCGTTCTGTTGAGTGAGTTTCCCAAAGGATTAATGCCAACCTATACATCATCCAAATGGTCATTCTGATAAACCCAGACAGTGCATGTTCATTGGCAAATGAGTGGGGGCTGAGAGAATAAGAGCCATTTAGTGTTGATGTAGTGGTATCAGTAATCCAAAGGCTAATGATCTGGGACATGAGTTCAAACTCAATCACAGAAGTTAGTGGAATGTAAACTCAATTAATAAATTGGAATACAAGCATGACCATGAAACCACCATCGATTGTTGTAAAAACCCATCTGGTTTGCTTATGTCCTTTAGGGAAGGAAATTTGCCATCCTCACCTGGTCTGGCCTACGTGTGACTCCAGACTCACAGCAATGTGATTGGCTCTTAACTGTCCTCTGAGATGGCCTGAGCAAGCCACTCAGTTCAAGGGCACTTCGGGATGGGCAACAAACACTGGCCTTGCCAGTGACATTCACTTCCCATGAAAGAATATAGGAAACAAAAATGGAGCTGTTCACTCAACTCTTTCAGCTGTTGTGATGCGGAATGTTGCACTGGGGTGGACAAAGTCGTAAAGTCACATGACACCGGGTTACAATCCTGGCGAAGGAGCAGCACCCCGAAAGCTTGTGATTTCAAATAAACCCGTTGGACTGTAACCTGGGATTGTGTGACTTCTGACTTTTTGAGCTGTTTGACTTTGTATGGGATAGACCTGCAAACCTAAGATGACAGGTTGGTGACCCCAGCAACAAAATACCCACCGTATTTCTTGTAAAAATACTTGTAATCAATTGGTTTAAAGTTTACAAAAATTTGTGCTTTTTGTTAGGCATGATCAACTATTGATGAGACAACGAGAGCCCTGACAGACACAACATTTAAATTCCTCATCCTTCTTACATACCTAGTCCACTCATTTCAAAAATACAAACTATCTCATTGTATCAAACATTACAGGAACTATGCAGTCACTCGGTGAATGAAACAGCATGGACTTATTTCATTTCTGAGTTAAGAATCGAAGTTATTTGAAAGCTGTTCCTGGAATCCTACCAAGAATGTAATTGTCATTTTTGGTTTCTGTTTCAAATTCCTCACCTAAATGGCTTCATACTCACATCACTGCCTGCCTTGTGTCTAATGGCATTCGGACTCCTGCTGTGAGTGTATTCTCCTCATGTTGCTATTAATAGGGAATTGTTTTATTTCCAATGACTCCCGACTGTGTTACACCCACATTTGTTTTGTTTCATGAAGTTAAGAGAGTGAACGCAGTCTATAAGTTTGTTTTATGCTGTAATTTTGAAAGCCTTCAACACTGATTGCCACACAAAACAGTAAATCAATGAGCTGTTGGAACGACTGGGTTCAATTTCCAATCCTTAATAAGTTAGATTATTTTAAATGTGAAAGTGATTCCAATAATTATCCATTGTATTTCTGAGCTTGGAAAAGGGAGTTAAAAAAAACCCAAAGATTCCTGGAATGTATTACTAGACCACTAGAATAGGGCTTGAAGACGATACCCACCATAGTGGTGACCGGGTGCACCTGTAAAGATTTGACTGCAGGGCACTGAAGTAGTTGGCATTTGTAAACCCACACCTAACAGGATTTACAAATGTACGAACAGGAGTTCAGCAACTCCAGCTTGTTCCACCTCTCATTTCATTCTCGGTTGACCTGTATTCAAATTAAATTTGCTCAACTTCGCTCTAGATGCTTTATAGTTATTTTAATCAGCTATGTTTTGATACAAATTAGACCACATGGGATTCAAGGAGAGTTTGCCAATTGGATACAAAATTGGCTTGACAGTAGGAGACAGAGGATGGTGGTAGAGGGCTGCTTTTCGGACTGGAGGCCTGCGACCAGCAGTGTCCTGCAGGAGTCGGTACTGGGTCCACTTTTGTTTGTCATTTATACAAACGATTTGGATTGGAATTTAGGAGGCATGGTTAGTATGTTTGTAGATGACACCAAAATTGGTGGTATAGTCGACAATGAAGAAGGTTATCTAAGATCGTGATCAACTGGGCCAATGGGCTAAGGAGTGGCAGATGGAGTTTAATTGGATAAATGCAGGGTAAAACAAACAAGGGTAGGACTTATACAGTTAATGGTAGGAAGTGTTGTTGAATAGACAGACCTAGGGGTTCAGGTACATAGTGCTCTGAAAGTGGTGTCACAGGGCGATTAAGAAGGCATTTAGCATGCTTCCCTTCATTGCTCAGACCACTGAGTATAGGAGTTGGAAGGTCATGTTGAGGTTCTACAGGTTGTTGACGAAGCCACTTTTGGAGTACTATGTACGATTCTGGTCGCCTTTCTTTGCAGAAGATTCAGGAGAGATTTACCAGGATGTTACTGGGACTTGAGGGTTTGAGTTATAAGGAGAGGCTGTTTAGGCTGGGGCTTTTTTTTCCCTGGCATGTAGGAGGTTGAGGGGTGACCTTACAGAGGTTTATAAAATCCTGAAGGACATAGATAAGGTGAATTGCAAAGGTCTTTTTTCCTAGGGTGGGCAAGTTCAAAACTAAGGGGCGTATTTTAAAGATGAGAGGAGAAAGATTTAAAAGGGACCTTTTCAAACAGAGGGGGTTCATATGTGGAATTATCTGCCAGACGAAATGGTGGATGCAGGTACAGTTACAACATTTAAAAGGCATTTGGACTGGTTCTTGAATAGAAAACGTATAGTTCGATATGGACCAAATGCAGGCAAGTGGGACTAGTTTAGTTTGGGATTATGGTCGGCATGGACTATTTCGGCCGAAGGGTCTGTTTCCGTCCTGTATGACTCTGTGACCTGGGAGACAGGTGGGACTGAACAAAGAGCTTCTAGCCCAGACGTAGGAACACTGCCACAGCACCACAAGAGAATGCAAGAACATAGGAATTAAGAGGGAGGCAATGGCCTAGTGGTATTATTGCCAAACTGTTAATCCAGAGACCCGGGTAATGTCCTGGGGACTTGGGTTTGAATCCCACTACGGCAGATGGTGGAAATTGAATTCAATAAATACCTGGAATTAAGAATCTAATGATGCCCTGGTCTGGCCTATATGTGACTCCAGACACACAGTAATGTGGTTGACTCTTAACTGCCCTCTGGGCAATTAGGGATGGGCAATAATTGCTGGCCTGGCCAGCGATGTCCTCATCCCGTGAATGAATAAAGGGGAAAGAAAAGAGCAGGGGTAGGCCCGTCAGTCCCTCAAGACCATGATTGCTAATCTCATTTTAGCATCAGCTCCACTTTACTGGCCGCTTCCCATAGCCATTTGACCATAAGATGTAGGAGCAAAATTGGTCAAGTCGGCCCATCAGGTCCACTCCACCATTCGATCATGGCTGATACGTTTCTCAACCCCATTGTCCTGCCTTCTCACAGGAGCCCTTCATCCCCTTGTAAACCAAGAACCTATCTATCTCTGTCTTAAATACACTCAATGAATTGGCCTCTATAACCTTCTGTAGCAATGAGTTCCACAGATTCACCACCCTCTGGCTGAAGAAATTCCTCCTCATCTCAGTTTTAAAGGGTCGTCCCTTCACTCTGAGGCTGTGCCCTCCGGTCCTAGTCTCTCCTACTAGTGGAAATATCTTCTCCACATCCACTCTATCCAGGCCGCTCAGTGTTGTAAATTTTCAGTGAGATCTCCCCTCATCCTTCTAAACTCCCTTGAGTACAGACCCAGAGTCCTCAACCGCTCCTCAGATGACAAGCCCCTCATCCACAGGATCATTCTTGTAAGCCTGCTCTGCATCCCCTCCAACGCCAGGACATCCTCTCTTAGGTATGGGGCCCAAAACTGCTCACAATATTCTAAATGCTTCTGACCAGAACTGTAAACAGCCTCAGCAATACATCCCTGCTCTTGTATTCTAGCTCCCTTGAAATGAATGCAAACATTGCATTTGCCTTCCTAACTGCCAACTGGAACCAGAACTCCCAAGTTCCTATGTGCTTCAGATTTCCAAAACTTTTCCCCATTTAGAATATAGTCTACACCTCTATTCTTCCTACCAAAATACATAACCTCACACTTGCCCACATGGTATTCCATCTGCCACTTCTTTGCTCACTCTCCTAGCCTGTCCAAGTCCTTCTGCAGCCTCCCCGCCTCCTCAACACAACCTGTCCCTCCACCTACCTTTGTATCATCTGCAAACTGCACAACGATGCCCTCAGTTCCTTCGTTATGTGAATAGTTGTGGTCCTAACACTGACCTCTGCAGAACTCTATGCTGCCATCCTGAAAAAAAAATCCTCTCCCTCTCCATTATACTCTTAATGAACCAACTTGTCCTGATCCTAGTTTTGAAAGTTTTGACTGGGCCAGCACTGATGGTTGAACTCAAGGCATTCTGTACGCTGCTGATTTTGTGACGATGACAGATTTGCAGTTTGATGCTTCTTACTTGGGTCAATGTCATTTGCAAGAACATGAGATGCCCCACTCATAGAAGCTGCAATGGCAGAGGCACCACAGCCACTTCCTACGTCCAACACCCTCTTTGACCTGGTGACTGCAGGATTATCCAGGAGGTATCTAGGAACAATGTTCAGAACAAATGAGTTAGGAGACTTCGGGCTCCTTGGAGCACTGTATCATTGCATCATCACAAAACAATCCTGAAATTGTCTCCTCTCCTTTTTCGCTGGTCTATTTGTTTTTAGGGTCTATCATCGACAGCTGCCTAGGGCTTTGTGAGACCACTACCTGTAAAATGTAAGCCTGATGTACACCGATCACTGATAAAGTGCTCAAACTTTATAATGACTCTGAAGCAGCCTTGGCTTAATGGTCACTCCCTTGTTTTTGAATCAGAAAGTTGCATGCTTACACCATGGTTCGACTGAAGGGTCTGTATTTCTATATGACTATGTTTGTGAGATTTGAACACAAATCTATGCTGACATTCTAGGGGCAGGCTGGTACTGATGGAATCCTGCACTTGGAAAAGGCATTAAACTGAAGACCTGACAGCCCTCACGGCTAAACATAAAACAATATGTGTAGTACTAATCTAAGAACAGCAGGGAGCTCTCCCAGTGTCCAAGCCAATCGTTATTCTGTCTATCAATTGTATCTCACATCAGATGGTTGTAAGCTCAAGCTCCACTCTTGAGCTTGAGTATAAAGTTGAGGTTGACTTTTCTCGTGCTATATTAAGGGAGTGTTGCACTGGTGGAGGTGATGTTTTTCAACCAAACTGATTTTGATCTTAGGTAGATGTAGAAGACCCACAATTTCGAAGAATTGTAGGGGAGATGTCCCCAGTGTCCAGATCAATATTTACCACTCAATTAACATCATAAAACAGATTATCTGATCATTATCATATTGTTGTTTGTGGGAGTTTGCTATGTGAACCTTGATCACTCTGTTTCCCACATTGACAACACTGACTACACTTCCCACAGTACTTCACTTGCTATAAAAGTACTTTAGGACAGCCCTTGATTATAGAAATTGTCATAGAAATATAAGCCTTTTCTTTCTTCTCAATCATCTTAAAACAGATAAAACAAATTTATTTGCTTTTTTGGGAGCTTCAAAGTGATGGCACATTCAGAGCATTGATTCTGTCGGTAAAAATGGCCCTAAACTTCCAGTTGCCTACCAGTGTTCCCTGGCCAACATCTCTGTCTCAGGCCTACTACAGGGCTCCAGTGAGGCTCAGCACAAGCTGGAAGAGCAGCACCCCATTTTCTGCTTGGGGACCCTGCAGCCTTCAGGTCCCACTATCAAGTTCAATAATTTAAAGGCCTGAACACCTCCTTCCAGGACCTTTACCCCACACCCCTCGCCATGTCATCACAGCTAACCCATTTTCACCTACTCATTGTCCCCATTTTCAGCTTTATTCCTTCCCTGGCTTCCCATTATCCATTCTTTTTCTGCCTATCAATCTCTCGCTCTCTGGGCTCCATTTCCACCACCCTTTCCCCCACCCCAACCCCTGTCATCAGCATAAATACCACCCTTTCCTAGCTACTATCAGTTCTTAAGAAGGGTCACCACTCTCAAAACGTTAACTCTGCTTTCTCTCCACTGTTGCTGCCAGACCTATGGAGTTTCTCCAGCAATTTCTCTTTTTGTTATACATTTGGGATGTCTTGACATAATTAAAGGTGTTTACTGAAGTGCAAATCTTCCTTCCTTTACTCATGGCAATTTAACCTGTGAGTTTCGTAAACTGTTCTTGGCATAAACATACTCACTTACAGAGCTGTATAACGAGAGGTGGATGCCAAGGAAATGAGTGGGTTTAAAGGGGACATTAAAAGCATAATTGAAGACTTTTGAAAACTGGGAGAGAGGTGTAGATGCAAAAATCATTCAACCAAACAAATTCTGTTGTCAAGGAGCAATGTGATCCAGACATATTTATTTTGCAAATTATTGCCCAATATATCAATTTGACTGCTGAGTTTAAGTAAATGAACATTTTATATCTAATGTTGTCACTGGGATTTAAATAAAGCAAGATGCTGGATGCTAGGAATTAATCTTTATACAAGCAAATCTCCCAAGGCATTGCTTGAAAACAGCTCTCTTTGTATATCACAAGTTATTATAATCAGGTTTGACAGGGATAATACTGCAGGAACTGTCACGTGTATAGGAGGCACACAACAGTGTGATAGATCAAAGATATACCTTGCAAACTGAAAAAAGTGCTGTGGTAAAATCACTGATCTGTCCTTTCAGGATGGATCTGGGCAGAGCATTTTGAGCAATAAAGCGCTGTGATTAAATTTGATCATTAAAGATAACAACAGAGAACTGGATGGTACAAGAATAAAAATTCAATGAGGATTCAAGTGTATTTAAACAAAAGAACAATCAGGTTAATAGAGACACTTTCCTATTCATCATAAGGCAGGAGTGAACCTTGTCCTTGAATCTGCTATAGTCCTTCTGATGAAGATACTCCAGGTATGGTATTAGATGAGGAATCTCAGGACTCTGATTAAATGAGGATAACAGAATAGATATACGTCCATGTTAGGATGGTGTGTATTGGAAAGGATACTCAAGCTGATGGTTTTCCCATGCTCTTACTGATATTGTATGTTGTGACTATAAAGGATGACTAAAGTGTAACTTCTATCAAACGCGGTAAATCAAGTGGCAAAGGCATTAATTCAGGATTATTCAAATTACATACAAATTCCAATAGTTCGGGTCTAATTGTTAAACTTGTTTCATCAGAGTGGGCTCCAACACTGACATTTAAACAAACTCAGTTCTATGGGGAAGGGGAAAGTTGGCCTCCCGACTATAACTTACTGAAGTGGTATTATCAGTCTTGTGGGGAACTTCCCACAAATTTGTTCTGTTATAACTTCTGAGGTGTCCCGCTGCATATCTTTGGAGGTACTTTCAGACTCTAATTATCGAGAGATCGGAAGATCTGAGCCAATGTCGGGAAGGAGCGAGATAATCCTTATATTTATGATGAAGGCAATAGGCAAGTGATGTTACATTTTAATGGCATTTGCAACGTTTCACTAAAGTGACCAGTAGGGGGCCAATCTCTTAAAAGCAAATAAAATGGGAGCACAGATTACATGTAAATTGACTATATGCATTCATCAGGGAGAGCTTGTGTTTAGGATTCAGCATTTATGCACATGTAACCATAATATTTGCCACAATGATGTCTCTCATCGTTTCGCCTTCTGGTTGGCTCTTGGGGACATCAAGGGTGCTTCAAGCAGACTGGACAAACCTACCAAACCATCAGAACAAGACAGATTTCCACATCATCACTTGTACTCAAATTGTGCCATTAAGTGTACAAGTTGCTTCACACTTGGCTTTATAAAACAAAATTTGGCCTGGATTCACTTATAGAGTCATAGAGTCATATAACAGAGAAACAGAGCCTTCGATCCAACCAGTCCATGCCGAACATGATCTCAAACTAAACTAGTCCCACCTACCATGTCCTGGCCCATATCCCTCCAAACTTTTCCTATTCATGTACTTATCCAAATGTCTTTTAAACGTTGTATCTGTACCCGAATCCACCACTTCCTCTGACAGTTCATTTCACACACGAACCACTCTCTGCCCCTCATGTCTTTTTTAAATCTTTGTCCTCTCACCTTAAAAATAAGCTCCCTGTTCTTGAAATCCCCACCTTAGTTCCTAGATTGCGCTGAGTTACGTAAGCTCAGTTGGAGTGAAGTAAAAAGTTGCTCTGTGCTTTAAGAGAGGGTAAAATTGATGGAACTTTGGAGAAAATGTGATTGGCATTAGGAGGTGTTAGAGTCTGGACAAAACCCCTGGAGCTCAAGACACTAGAGAATGTTTGACACAAAATGTGAACGTGGAATTCAAATATAACCTGTCAAGACAAGGGCAGTGAGGCATCACCCTTGTCACGACAGGTTATATTGGAATATCATGAGGCACTGCTCTCGAAAAAAACTGAACAAAGTTATTTATAAGGGCATAGATTGGGCAGATAGGGAGAAACGTTTCCCCTTAGTACAGGGGTCAGTAACCAAGGGGTAGTTTTAAGGAAAGGAACAGGAGTCTTTGAGGAATTTTTTTGACGCAGAGTGTGGTGGGTATCTGGAACTCACTACTGAAAAGGGTGTAGAGTCGGAAACCCTCCAGATGTTTAAGAAGTATTTAGAGGAGCACTTGAAACCTCACAGCGTACAAGGCCACAAGGTTCGAGTCCCATTTCCCCAGAAATGTCTCGACATGTGATTAATTCAGGATATCTGGTCGGCATGGACGAGTTGGACCAAAAGGTCTGTTTCCGTGCTGTACATCTCTATGTCTTGACAGGTTGATTAAAATAACCAACTGCAAGGCTATGAGTCAAGTGCTAGCAAATGGGATTAGAACAGTTAGATGCTTGATGTCTGGCACAGACATGATGGGCCGAAGGACCTCCTTCCGTGCTGCAAAAACTTTACATACTGTGTCATGTCAAATTTGAACTTATGTACTATAATTTTGCAAATTTCAGGAACAAATATAATTCTGGGCAGTGGGTGGATGAAATCCTTTGAGCAGAATCATTTTGTGCAAGACTGTCTATCATGTACTGGCATTCGAAGACCTTTAAATGCCACCTTCAGGACAGCAAAATGGGCAAAATGAATACAGAATCGCTTGCGTCTAAGTTTCAATCCCTCTTGATTTCCAAGATCGATTCCAGGAATGAGAAATTCCACTTTCGAGGACAGATTGAAGAAGTTGGGGCTGTTCTCCTTGAAGAGGAGAAGTCTTTGAGAACATTTGACAGAGGGTTTTCAAAAATCATGAGCAGACAGGCCAGAATAGATTGGAAGTAGTTGTTCCCGCTTGTAAAAGGAAAAGCACGAGAGGGCATAGATTTGAAGTGATATGCAAAGGAAGCAAAGGGAAAAAAAACTTTTTTCATGCAGGGAATAGTTAGGTTATGGAATGTGGTGCCTGGAAAAGTGGAGGATGTAGGCTGAATTAAATCACTGAAGAGGTAATTTGTACGAATATTTGGATAGAAATAGTGTGCAGAAAAGGCCAGGAGATGGGCACTCAGTCACAGAACAGGTTTAGGCACAGTGGGCCGAATGGCCTCCTCCTGCACAGGGTAACAGTTGTGTGGCAATGTGATTCAAGTGGTTAGCACTCTTGCCCCATAGCGCCAGGGACCCGGGTTTGATTCCAGGTTTGGGTGACTATAATTACAACAATTAAAAGGCAATCTAGATGGGGATATGAATAGGAAGTGCTTAGAGGGATATAGGCCAAATGCTGACAAATGGGACCTAGACTAATTTGACATGGCATGGTGGCTCAGCGGTTAGCATGGCTGCCTCAGAGCGCCAGGGACCTGGGCTCAATTCCAGCCTCGGGTGAGTGTCTGTGTGGAATTTGCACATTCTCCCCATGTTTGTGCGGGCTTCCTCCGGGTGCTCCAGTTTCCTCCCACAGTCCAAAGATGTGCAGGTTAAGGTAGATTGGCCATGCTAATTTGCTCATAGTGTCCAGAGATGTGCAGGCTAGGTGTGTCAGCTGTGGGAAATGCAGGGGTTACAGGAGATAAAGTAGGGGGTTAGGTCTGGGTGGGATGCCGTTCGGAGGGGCAGTATGGGCTTGATGGGCCGAATGGCCTGCTTCCAGAGTGTAGGGATTCTAAGAATTCTGTGCTACCCAGGGCGTCCTAATGCGAACTGGTTCTAAGTCCAATCCTGGTTTGGTAAAAAGGGGGTGGGAGGATTTAGAGTCCATGCAAGCGTATAAGGCAGGTACCTGGAGAGTGCCTGGCCCCCCGGCCAGTAGATAGCCCAGTAGGGATCGCTGAAGGGCCACAGATGGGCCGGCTGGCTCCAGAAGCGGCAGCGGGGAGTGAGCAGCCTCAGGCTCACCTCCGGCGTGAGGTGCTCTCTCACTGGCTCCGTGTTGCCGGCGATAAACGCCCTGAGGTCGGGCGCAGCGGGTTCGCTGAGCCGCCGCGGGTGGCGGAGAGAGAGGCGCCAGCACAATGCAGTGCTGGCCAGCCTGCCAAGGAGCATCGGTGGAGAAGTGGGGGCTCCTCTCTCCTAAAGCAGCCCATGTACGCACTCCTTCCCTACGAGAGCACCAGACTTCAGAGCAGCGCTCCTTCCTGCAGCAAACCCTGGGGCGTGCAACTCAAATAAAACAGGATTGCACACAACCTCCGTGTCCAACTGCATTTGCTCTCCCCGCCGCCTCCCAATGCTGCAGACTGTGGTTCTGCCTTCCAGTTTGGTCCTCACTATGAACCCCTTGGTCAGAATTTGACCCCTGCCAACTGAAGTCAGGTTTCTAACCTACTGCAACATGAGGGTCAGCCATAAAGATTTATAAAGAAAGGACTCTTTCTGTCCCATTCATTACCAATCTTAACAGGCTGGTCAAAAACACAACTGTGTCACCGGGCTAGTGTCCCTACCCCAATGCTCAAATTACAATAGTCGCAGCATTTTATACAGAACAATACCGTACAAGAAGAGGCCCTTCGGCCCATCATGTCTGTGCCGACCATGATGCTACTTTAAACTTGCCCATCTGCCTGTACATTTTCTGCTCGGATCCGCTGTCAGCGCACAGACTCGTGAGCTCACTGGCACATTCCAAGGTCCAGGACGATGTGCTTGCTGAGGGACACACTAAAGCTTGGGGCAACTGCCCCCAAGGCGCTGTGGGGAAAGACCACCCTCTGAGGTCTTCTTGCTAAAGCTAAATGGAGGTCCTTATTGTTATCAGACCCTCCTGGTGCCTTAAATGCATGTAAATATAATCTGGTTCAAGTCAGAGATGCCTTTGGTTTGGTTGGAGTCAAACTCCAATGTTTCTTTGTTTCCTTGATGTGCTATTGTACAGAACTGAACTGAACTGCATTTGTGACCATGTATGTATATAAACATATCTTTTACGAATAAAGTGAAATGTGAACATGGTATGTATCCCTCTATTCTCTGCCCATTCGTGTGTCCTGTTAAATTTTGCTACAGTATCTGCTTCTACCACCTGCCCTGGCAGGACCTATACATTTTGCAGTGTTAGCTAATGAAAAAGTAAACCTAGGATATCAAGCAATTCTCAGTGCTGGGATCAAAGATGGATGGATGGCGTGCAGCTTTGAAATACATGATCCCGCATTCAGCCTTGTGTGAGATTGTTGAAACTGGACACAGCAGCTCCAGGATAGAGCATCCATTCTTCTGATTGTGATATAGTGATCCCTCCGATGGTTACTGAGCTTATGATGCAATATATCCCCAGTTGATGGGAAGAATAATATTAGGCCCCTCAATCACAGAATTACTTGTTAGACAGTGGCGTGTAATGGGCTTTGCATGTAAATATTGAATTGGCTACATGGATGTTTTTACTGATAGCGAGTAGTAGTTTTAAAAAAACGCAAACAAAAAGTCATGGTGATTTTGGTGCTGGGAAGGTTGCTCAGTTGTGTGTGATAGAGAGAAAAATAAATCAACAGTGGTATAGCGATAGTATCACTAGACTGTGACCTAAAGTCCCAATTGTCTTCTGGGGTTACGGGTTTAAATCCCTTCACAGCAGCTGTTGGAAATTAAATCAATAAACTATAGAATTGAAAGGTAATCATAGTGAGATATTTAAACATCAGCTTTCATTGCTGGCCCTTTAAGGAAGGAAATCTGCTATCCTTACTTGGCCTGACCTACATTTGAATGCAGACCCATAGCACTGCAGTCAAATATTAATCCCCCTCTGAAATGGCCAAGCCGCCTGGTTCTTCTGCCAGAGCTTATGGGATCTAATCCTACTTCAGAAATTCAAACACACATTTGAGCCTGACCCTCCAGTGCAGCATTGGAGGAATGTTGCACTGCAAGAGGTACCATCTTTCAGACAAGCTAGTAGTTAAGCCGAGCGCTGTTCTCACCCCTCTCAAAGAGACGTAAATGGACCCGTGACACTGTTAGATAAGTGGAAGAGCTGTCCTGGCCTGAAATCATCACTGAAACAGATGGCATTGTGTTTGTGGGATTTTGCTGTGCAACTTTGGCAGTCAGACTTTCATACGTGGTCATGTGGTTTCTGGGTAATTCCCCACTGCCAATATTATGTGCACTATTGTTAACCCTTGTACATTCACCACAAAGACTGGGTTCTTGTTGAGACAAATATCTTGAAGTTCATCAACAATACTGTTTTATACTGCTATTAGATTTCAGAGTTGTTTTATGCTTACAGACAGCATAGGGCAAATATACAGTTAGTGCAAGCAGACTACCATTCATTATTACTACTGCCACTGAGATAAGGCAGGTACTTTACACTAGAATGTTTATACTAGCACTAACTCTGTGATACAGTTTAATTGTTTTAAAAAGTGTATTGCCTGCCTGGTCTCGAATCTATGCAAAAGTGCAGCACATAACAGCAGTGACTGCAACAAGCACTGAATTGACACACAGCACCTTAGGAACACCTGAAATCAGGAAAGGCACTATACAAGTGGAAATTTTTCTATCCCCTCACAATCTCACATGAAGAATGGTCGTTTGGTCGAGGCATCAGAAGAGCACCAACTCTAGGACTGGACCTTAGCAAGGATCCAGCCTTCGTGATGATGGCTAGCAAGGAGGAAAATGGAAGGGAGGATAAAAATCATGGGAAAGTATATTTTGATCAGCTGGCTTAATAAGGAACACAGTGAATAGGTGGTCAACAAGTAAGTTGAAACTTGCACCTGCAGATCAACAAACTGCAAATTAAAACAATAACCAGTAAAACTAACAGGCAATGAATATTAAACACAATAAGGTGTAGTTTTGTTTCCTGTTGTTAGTGCTGCACTGTCCTTTTATTAAAACTTGCATTATCTTGTTGCATTTTTAGTGCAACTGCTTTTACAAATTGTCCTACATGCAAATACTTGTTGATTCGATCAGCTTGTTGTACACATAACTGGTGCAAGTAGGTTTCGAAATACAAATGTTTCAGCATGTGGTTATATTTGTTCAGTGTTGATTCTGTTAATGGTTGCAGGACTTTTAATGAGTTTCTTTCTGAGCCCTCACCCTGCTATCAATGTGTACAACGATCCTCAACCTTGGTTCAGGCTATAAGCCAATGTTTCTGGGATCTCTGTGTTCATGAGAGGGTCTCACCTCTCCAGATCTTTGGTCACAAGCTGTTTAGAACAGTGTGTAATGATGTGCTGATTTAAGTTTCTCACATTCTGCTTTCTTAACAACAACCGGTCGTATTTGTAGAGTGCCTTTCACATTCCACAGGCACTTCACTTGAATGCAATAAAACAAAACTTGACTCCGCACTACATAAGGAGAAATTAAGGACGATGACAGAAAGCTTGGGGAAGAAAAGGCTAATTGTCTTAAAGGAGAAATTGTCTTAAAGCAGTGAGGAGACAGAGAGATGTCAGGAGGTGAAAGTGCAGAAAGCATGGTAACCAACTGTGGAGCAATTTGAAACTGGGGACACTCAAGAAGCCAGAATCAGAGGAGTGCAGTGTCTCAGACTGGAGAAGATTAATGAAGTAGAGGGTGCTGAGACTACGGAGGAATTTGAAAGCAAGGAAGAGGATTTTAACATTGAGGCATTACTTAACCACAAGTCTGTAGGTTGATGAGTGGAGAGGTGATGAATCGTGGTACTTGATGTGAGGTAAGGACAAAGGCAGCAGTATTGGATGACTTCAAGTTTATGGAGAGCAGAATGTGAGAGCAACTAGGTCTAATGGGAACAAACACATGGACAAGGGTTTCAGTGGAGCTGAGGTATGAGTAGAGTCAGAAACAGGTAGTCTTAGAGATGGTACAAAAAACCCGAAAGAAGTGCAGTTGCTGGAAATCCAAAACTAAAACAGAAATTGTTGGAAAAGCTCAGCAGGACTGGCAGCATCTGTGGAGGGAAATCAGAGTTAATGTTTCGGGTCGTGTGACCCTTCCTCAGAGCTGACAGTAGCTAGGAAGAGATTGGCTTACATGCAAAAGATAGTGTGAGGGCTGGGGAGGAGATAAGTCCTAGCCCCTGGGATAAGTGCTCCCCCCACACTATCTTCTGCATGAAAACCAACATTTTCCTAAATACCATCAGTTCTGAGGAAAGGTCACTGAACCCGAAATATTAACTCTAATTTCTCTCCACAGATGCTGCCAAACATTCTGAGATTTTTCAGCAATTTTTGTTTTGAACTCTTAGAAATGGTGTTGGTTTGCGAATGGAACCTCATCGCAGGGTGAAATAAGACATCAGGGTTGTCATAAATTTTCTGGTTCAACTTCAGGAAGTTGCCAGAGAGGGGGATGTTGGAATCATAAAAGGCTTGTGGGTCAGAAAGAGGCCACTTGGTCTATCACATCTGGGCTCCACTTAAAAATTGAGTCACTCAGTCTAATCCCACTTGCAAGCATTTATTCCATAGCCCCACAGGTTCCCTGTAACCAATGGTGCGCCACAGGGCTCGGTGCTGGGTCCACTGCTTTTCATCATTTATGTAAATGATTTGGATGTGAACATAGGAGGTATGGTTAGTAAGTTTGCAGATGACACTAAAATTGGAGGTGTAGTGGACAGCGAAGAAGACTACCTCAGAGTACAATGAGACCTCAGTCAGATGGACCAATGGGGTGAGGAGTGGAAGATGGAGTTTAATTTAGATAAATGTGAGGTGCTGCAGTTTGGAAAGGTAAATCAGGGCACGACTTATACACTTATTGTTAAGTTACTGGGAGTGTTGCTGAACAAAGAGACCTTGGAGTGCAGGTTTATAGTTCCTTGAAAGTGGAGTCGCAGGTAGATAGGATAGTGAAGTATGCTTGTCTTTATTGGTCAGTGCATTGAGTGTAGGAGTTGAGAGGACATGTTGTAGCTGTACAGGACGTTGGTTAGGCCAGTTTTGGAGTACTGCGTGCAATTCTGGTCTCCCTGCTATAGAAAGGATGTTGTGAAACTTGAAAGGGTTCAGAAAAGATTTACAAAGGTGTTGTCAGGGTTGGAGGGTTTGATCTTTAGGAAGACGCTGAATAGTCTGGGGCTATTTTCCCTGGAGCGTCGGAGACTGAGGGGTGACCTTATCGTGGTTTACGAAATCATGAGGGGCAAGGATAGGGTAAATAGACAAGGTCTTTTCCCTGGGGGGGGAGTCTAAAACTAGAGGGCATAGGTTTAAGGTGAGAG